TATGTAGAGGCCAGTCTCTTTACTGGGTATACAGTGAGGAACAGAAGTATTTGAACACCCTGCGATTTTGCAAGTTCTCCCACTTAGAAATCATGGAGGGGTCTGAAATTCACATTGTAGGTGCATTCCCACTCAGAGACAGAATTTTGTAAAAAAAAATTCAGGAAATCACATTGTATGATTTTTAAATAATTTATTTGTCTTGCACTGCTGAACATAAGTATTTGAACACCTAAGAAACAGCAAGAATTCTGGCTCTCAAAGACCTGTTACTGTGCCTTTAAAAAGTCCACCTCTACTCCACTCATTAATCTAACTTAGTAGCACATATCTGAGCTCTTTAAAGACACCTGTCCATCCCACAGTCAGTCATACGCCAACTACTACCATGGGTAAGACGAAGAGCTGTCAAAAGACACCAGAGACAAAATTCTGGACCTCCACAAGGCTGGAAAGGGCTACGGGGTAACTGCCAAGCAGCTTGGTGAAAATAGATCAACTGTTGGAGCAATTAGAAAATGGAAGAGGCTAAAGACGACTGTCAGTCTCCCTCGGATTTGGGCTCCATGCAAGATCTCACCTCGTGGGGTATCACTGATGAAAGAATGGTGAGGAATCGGCCCAGAACTACAAGGGAGGAGCTGGTCAATGACCTGAAGAGAGCTGGGACCACCGTTTCAAAGGTCACTGTCGAAAGAACACTACGCCGTCATGGTTTCAAATCATGCATTGCACGGAAGGTTCCCCTGCTCAAGTCATCACATGTCCAGGCCCGTCTGAAGTTTGCCAATGACCATCTGGATGATCCAGAGGAGACATGGGAGAAAGTCATGTGGTCAGATGAGACCAAAGTAGAACTTTTTGGTCTAAACTTCACTCGTCGTGTTTGGAGGAAAAAGGATGAGTTGCATCCCAAGTACACCATCCCTACTGTGAAGCATGGGGGTGGTAACATCATGCTTTGGGGGTGCTTTTCTGCGAAGGGGATAGGACGATTGCACTGTATTAAGGAGAGAATGAATGGGGCCATTTATTGTGAGATTTTGAGCAACAACCTCCTTCCCTCAGTCAGAGCATTGAAGATGGGTCATGGCTGGGTCTTCCAACATGACAACGACCCGAAGAACACAGCCAGGATAACCAAGGAGTGGCTCCGTAAGAAGCATATCAAGGTTCTGGAGTGGCCTAGCCAGTCTCCAGTCCTAAATCCAATAGAACATCTTTGGAGGGAGCTGAAACTCCGTGTTGCTCAGCGACAGCCCCGAATCCTGACAGATCTAGAGGAGATCTGTGTGGAGGAGTGGGACAAAATCCCTGTTGCAGTGTGTGCAAACCTGGTCAAGAACTACAGGAAACGTTTGACCTCTGTAATTGCAAACAAAGAATTCTGTACCAAATATTAACACTGATTTTCTCAGGTGTTCAAATACTTATGTTCAGCAGTACAAGACAAATAAATTCTTTAAAAATCATACAATGTGATTTCCTGAATTTTTTTTTTTTAAATTCTGTCTCTGAGAGTGGGGAATGCACCTACAATGTGAATTTCAGACCCCTCCATGATTTCTAAGTGGGAGAACTTGCAAAATCGCAGGGTGTTCAAATACTTCTGTTCCTTACTGTATGTAAGGCTTTACAACCACTTTAAGGAAACTCATTGGTTGTGAGAGGATGGCCGTGCTAGAGCTCTGAAATGGAGGTGGAATTGTGTGTGGCTGGTTAAGATGCTGTCTAATTACATGGAGCATTTATTTACGAGGGGTGTCTACTGGTACCTTGTGGTGTCTGCTTCTATAATGGATGCATTAGGGCATCTGATCACTTCTGCTGTAGGATGGCTATTTCTTTAGTAGTGAACCATTCTATACACATACACTGGGGGAAATTCAATAAAGCTGCTGCTCCACTTTTATAATGTCAATTGCTCTTGTATGTTGCACTTGATTATAAATATATAAAAAAATTGTGCTAGTTATGGTTCTGACAGCAATATGTGCACTAAATTCAAGTAGGTCTAATTTGTTCCGTTTCTACGTTGTGGTGCAACATCAGTGCCAAATTCAAAATAAAATACTGACCATTTGCATTTTGTGAAATTGGAGCTAATTAAGAACAAAAAAAAGACAGATTTTGTGACAGTTTCTTGTGTGGTTTAGTGTAAAGTTCTAGGCAGGTACATGAATTTGGCACACACACACACTGTGCCACTTTTAGAATAATGTGAGACACTTTGCAAAATCTGTCTGCTCCAGTCTTTATGAATTTCAGAGACTGTGTTTTAATTGTACAGCCATGATGGATTCCTTATAATCTGTAGCATGACAACAATCTATTGTTTATGCTGTGCTGAGTCATTGTCCTGTCTCCTCCCATTCTACTGCGCTAATTTAACACTTAATGTTGAAATTAGTAACAGATAATGGCTTTCACCTGGATTCACCTGGTTTTCAGTTCAAGGGAAAAAGGCATACCTAATGTTTTGTACACTCATCAGTAATTTTAATGGGGGGGGGGGGGGGGGGACTAGCAGATGACTGGATGGTAACATGAACTTCATCTCTCTTTTTCGCAAAGTAGTTCTTTTACTGGACCCATTTTATATTTTGTCATCAACACTATTGGTGCCATCATTTTAAAACCAGTAAAAACCCATATGTTTATACTATGCTGAAGTAGCATTGTCAGGTAAACCACTAAAATATCCAAAAATAATATTCTAGAAAGCAATGTGGTAGATGACGATAGGATCTACCTAATGAAATTAAGGTTCACCTTATATTGTCCAATGGTTTAGTGCTCAGGAGAAACACGTAGTTAGAAAAACCAGAAGATTCTTGTGGTTTATATGGCGGTGAAATTCCCCTGCGGGTAGGTACTGTGTGTTTCTTCAGTTGACTCAAAGGAATGTCTCAATTATTTGACGTTGAAAGCATGTCATTTAAGAATTATGTTTTAGGTGTCACAAGAAGAATGCATCCCAGACGTTCATTTAAGTTAGCTGTTTGAAAGAAAACACAGGAATTCTCAGTATGATGTTTTCTCCTGTACATTTAGTGAAAAGTAAAATTGCTGACTTGTAGGTGGTACCATTATGTCATGTTTAAAAATAATAATTAAAGGAGTTTGTGGTTGGAGACATTCCATGACTATGTGAAAGCATTGGTTTTATTAAGGTCCTAGTCATCTGAGGTGACCACGTTCTTAAAACTAAAGTATTTAGATTACATTGATCTGTTGCTTTATTTCTTTCAGTTATAGTGTAAATAATTTGACTTTGTTTCAATTTTTTTTAGTTAAATTTTTTTGTTTATTTTGCATTGATTTAAGATATCAAACTTAAGTTAGAACTTTTTAGTTTTGGGTAGAGGGGATTGGAACACCGTTTTAGTTGTCTATCCCCATTAGGCCCCCTGCGCACACAGAGCTGTCCAATTGCAGTGCATCCTTCTCGGTGTTTTAGTGCGAATAGGACGGGCAGTCGCAGCAATTCAGCCCCACTGTAGGCACCCTGTTTAAAATGTTACTAAACCCACAATAGTAAAATCAGTCTGTATATACAGTAAAGCATGCTTGTTATACTCACTGTGGAACCTAAGGGGTTAATCTTCTGCATTGTGTAAAAACGCTGCTTGATCCTGACTTCTCTGATCTTCCCCTTCTTCCAATGTCCCCCTCTTATCGCCTGATAAGACACCGCATGGAGTCACTCTTCACAGTTTGGTGTGTATTGATAGGTGTTTGTTTTTTTTGTTTTTTTTTTTTCATTTCTTGGGAGAGTGCATGTGATCAACACAAGGCCAACTGGCACACTCCAGACAGTGGTCAGGGGTCCTGCATCCTCCTAGTGTAGAATGAAAACTCCTGCTACGAGCTTTAACCAGTGCTCAGCTGGACATTGATGGCAATCACAAGATTGCTCTAACTGCTGATGAGAAAATTTATTTAGCAGTTTTATATTTACTAAAATTGCACTTCCAAGTACTGTGGGAGACTAGATCTAGTGAATGCAGGGTCCTGTGTTTAGTAACACTTTAAAGTCTCTAGCAGGCTGTGACAGGATGGGCTGAATGCTGTAGTGAGTGATACCAGGTGTTTAGGGCCCTGTGTGTTCATGGACAAGGACACGCTGCAGCTGGATGGCCTTGTGTGCAAGGGGTCATAGACTTCTGTTGAGTGGCAAAAGCCAAAGATGGCCAAGTTTCAGTCCAACAATCGATATTTTATTTATTTTTGTTTAATTTTATTTATTTTGTCGTATGGGAATGTTAGAAAAAAAAAATGTCAATCAATGGCTGTAGCTAATCCCCAGCAGCTGCTTATCAGTGTAATCTGACAGTGAAGGGGTCCCACTGTCAAAATATAATGGCACAGTGGATGGGGGAATCCCTTCATATTTTATTTTTTTTTTTTTTAGGTTTGGCCCATTAGCTGATTGAGGGGAAAAAAAAGGATTTATTGATGGCCAGCTTTAGGGAGATTTCCTATTCACATCACCACAAAGTAAATGAGAAGTATTTACCTGACAGAGATACAATTGTCCCATTACTTTTGGTCCCTTAACAAGTGGGAGGCACATATGCAAACTGTTGTAATTCCTACATCGTTCACCTGATTTGGATGTAAATACCCTCAAATTAAAGCTGACAGTCTGCAGTTAAAGCACATCTTGTTCGTTTCATTTCAAATCCATTGTGGTGGTGTATAGAGCAAAAATGTTAGAATTGTGTCGATGTCCCAATATTTATGGACCTGACTGTATATCTTCCACTGTATTATGCTTTAGGCCACATTCACACTTGTTTCCAGAATGACAGTGCACAGGAAACGTGTTGTGATTGTGACGTGAGTTTTGGAAACTTACTGAAAATGGTTATCAGATACATGTTTTGCCATACATTTTGTTGCAGGGTAAATTCACTACAAACTTGTGGTGCTGCTCGTTTGAAAAGGATTTGGAACTTCTTTGGTGCATTTGTCATGCATAGGGAAGCCCAATTAAGTCAATGGGCTGCCCGATGTGCAACACGCAGAAATGTGTATGGGGGAGAAAAAATATGCAAGTGGGAACACGCTTTCCCGTAACCGGAAGTGTGTGATTTGTGGCCTTAAAGTGGTGTCTTTTTTTTTTTTTTTTTTTTTTTTTTCCATGAAAAGATTTGCTTTGTCTTTGTGGTTATAAAGAAAAGAATGTGTTCTAAAATCTCCTCCATAACATAGGGACGCAAACTGAAAAATCTGACAGAGATCCTTACCCTTCCTTACTCTATTCAAAACTAATACAATATTTTTTTTTTCACTTATTGTGGGGCTTGAAAAAATTTGAGCATAGAGGCAGGTAAATGCACTGCTATTTTTGTTGGCCGCTTCATGACCAATAACTACAGAATCACCGTAGAATCACATTTTAAACAAAAAACAGAATAACATAATCCCTGGATGATCACAGATTGCCATAATCGGTCTCTTTTAACACTTTTGTATAAAAATCATTGTAGACTATCACTACCTTTTTTGAAGTCCTTGGGGAATTTATGGTAACAACTCGTGACAATTTGTTTGTGATCTTTGGGATGCCTGTGTGGCTAAGACTTTTGAATAACAAAGATACCATAGCCTATAAAACCGTTTTTAATAGTAAAAAGCAGTTTTGATGGGGAAAATGCACAAGCATAGTAGGGGCTCATAATGTACAATTTGAAGATTCAATTCCTTGTACTCTTGGAGCCCTTGTAAACTAATCCGTAAATTGTGTGTTGCATTAAAGCATTCATATTTAATGGACTGTCAGCACAGATCAACACACAAAAAACCCAGTGTGTGTGTGTGTGTGTGTGTGTGTGTGTGTAATGTGTGTGTGTGTGTGTGTGTGTGTGTGTGTGTGTGTGTGTGTGTATATATATATATATATATATATATATATATTATATAATTTTAACACCACACAATGAGAATGATTGCTTTAATATTGCATCTGTTCACCCAACAACATATGCGTAGATTCACTTCAAATATCCAGTCATGTAAAAATCCCTGTTTACATATGTAATCTGTACATGATTGGATAATTGAAGTGAGTTAGTTGTCAGCCATACAAACTACTGCGTACCATTTATGAGTTGCTGCAATAAAATTATAGCAAAATGGACTAGCCAGCTGCATAATTTTTTCACTTTGAATGTGTCTTTGAAGTCAGTCCTCCTGTAGGTTGATAATTTTCATTTCCAAACACATTTTCCACTTCATATAAGTATAGATATCCAGCATGATATTTCTCCCCATTGAGATCTGATGTGTTTTCAAAGTGTTCCTTTTAATTTTTTTAAGCAGTGTATAAAGACCAAAAGGGTGTGTTGTGTTTTTTTTGCTACACGTTGGAAGTGATTTTCTTTCAAACAAACATACAACTGATATTTAGATTGGCAGGTGATTTATTAAAAGGCAAACTGTCCCAACTGCTTAATGCAACAGATGTAATTCGAATCTGCATATATTTGATTTTTAGCTCCCTGTTAATTTTGATGTCAAATTTTGATTTGGATTTAGTCAATCTTTTGACCAGGAGGCCATTTTAGTTTTAGTTGAATTTTTGTCATCTGAATTGAACCAGATTTTTATTTTCATTTTAGTTTTCGGCACTGAAAATATGCAACTGACAAAAACTATGACGAAAATGTTTTTAACAAAATTAACAATGCTTTTAGCTGTTCTTTTCAGCCAGTCTTATGATCCAAACACCACTGTCACACATAGGCATGTGGGTGAACTCCATTTTTTCCTTTGCAAATAATTAATAACAAATGCCTTGGCCTTTGCAGGAGACTGAGCTTTTGAAATTGTAAACTGTACACCCCTAATGTGCAGCTCTGACGGGGTCTCAGCCCATGCAGTTTGGTCCCCCTGTGGAATAAGAAACACCACCGCTAATGCATCTCAGAACTCCTTCCCTTCTTATTCAACCAGAATCCCCCCCCAACACCTTCTTTGCCGATATGTGATGGTTGTGTTAACTGGATGTGGATGATGCAGAGGAGACTGCTTATCGAAGCTGTGTGCTCCTTCTTTTTTTTTTTGTCCTATACAGCTGCAGTGACTTTTTGTTAATTTTGTTCAAAAGTTACACACTTGTCTGGTGTGCTGTGTTTCTTAGTTCCTGCATCTGTTCTGGATATTGTTTTTTGTAAGATTTGTTCCTGTGTACAGAGGTTTGGGAATTCAGTCTGAGTTGATTTCAGTTTGCATTGTGTTTTGGACCATCTAGTCTACAGATGTGAGTTTCTATTGGTGTGCTTCATCTATGTAAATTGGTGGGTATAGCACACAGAATTATTATTATTCTCTGCTCTGTGTGATGAATACCATAATTACCTTTGTTATTTTTCTACTGATGATTTTTGATGGCTCTTTTTCACTTTTGTGTGGTGCTGGTTTTGTGTGGGGGCTGTTGCTGTGGTGTGTGTTTTTGTCTTTTTTGTGGACTTCAGATGCATTTTGCACATCTTGTTTTTATAAGAAATTATCTTAGATACATGGTTTGATAGTTCCGATTTTAATTTACAGTTGTGTTATTATTCTAATGTGTGTAGCAGGGGCGGACTGACAACTCATGGGGCCCCCGGGCAATAGGGGATCATGGGGCCCCTGTGTCCTCGCCCACACCCGAAAAAGCCAATGAAAGGTACCAGGGGCATCTCATGGGGCCCCCTACTGCCCCCGGGCCCTCGGGCATTGCCAGAGTGCTCGAAAGTGGTTAGTCCGCCCCTGGTGTGTACTGTCATCCCTGCCAGAAGGCAGACAGTTTATTTTAGTTGTATGGTATTTATGGAGCTATAAAATGTTGCACAGGCTGAAGTACACTCGAGTCAATAATTCATTCATCTAACCTCTGAATCTTGTCAGTAAATGCTAAGTGCTCTCTGTTAATACAGTATCTACCAGGGATGGATTGGGTCTTCTGAGGGGAGATATCCATACAATTATACCTGCATTGTGACATACAGTGTAGTAACTACTGGACAGCCTCATCCATGCCACCTGGTTTCCAGCAATGCCTATCGAACACTGCAAAACAATCTGTTATTCTTTAAAGCTGTTTCCAACTCCTGAACTCGAAGACTGTGATGTCATCAGGGACTCCCATATATTCAGCAAATGACTTGTCAGCTTGTCACTCTTTTAGAAGCATCCTGTATATGTGTGTTGTTTTTTTTTTTTTTTTTTTTTTTTTTTTTTTTTTTTTTTTTTCCTTGTGTAAAGGCCTTACCCTTGTATAATGAACCAGAAATTCAGTTTTATTAAAGGCATTTCTCAGAATCATGAAAGCATTAAACTATTTGTAAATCCTTACCTTCTAAAACAACCCATTCAATTTAAAATGGAAATGAAAGGCAAAACATTTATGTATACATATTTTTTTTTTTTTTTTTTTACCTGTTTTTATAAGTGATCACATACCCTCTAAACTCCTTATGCAACTGAGAACCGAGAGCTGGGGGAGGAGAAACTGAAGAATACTGAGCTTTCCAGTGAATGGCTGTGCCAGGAGGCGTGTAAGTAGAACTCTGATTGGGGGAGAACCCGTGGAATTCCAAACACAGTTAGAGAACTGACCACGCTGTGCTTTCATGCCTAGTGTAATCTATTTTTAATTGGAAAGCAGAGGGACTTACAGGAACATCAGGGATTTCACACAAAGAAATACAAAAGAATACAAAGTGAATAGGATACTTTTCCATACAAGTACATGGTACAGCAGGCATACATCAGTACTATGAAATGTCGGGTTTACCTATTCTTTAATTCTTTATTGCCTGGAAAATATCCATTAAGCACTTTCTAGTTTGATTTTACAGTGCTCAGCATAAAATAAGATTTTAAGCAATATCTCACTGAACACGAACAATTTAAAAAATTTTGACAAAACTGAGTTTTATAGAACATGTTTTTAGCTCATTACATGAAAGTAAGGTTAATGATATAACTTGGATTACAAAATCTTCAGTTTTTGCTCAAATTGGTTAATTCAAAAATTAATCCACCCCACAACAAAAGGCATGGAATGAATAAGTTGCAACATCAATCTTTTTCCATTCTTCAAGAACAACTTTTAGAGCCTGGATGCTGGATGGAGAGTGATGCTCAACTTTTCTCTTCTTCAGAATTCCTCATAGGTGTTCAATTTTGGTTTCAGATCAGGAGACATATTTGGCCACTGAATCACTTTCACCCTGTTCTTATTCAGAAATGGAACAGTGGCCTTCGATGTGTGTTTTTGATCATTGTCATGCTGGAAAAGTGCACGACGACCAAAGGCACAGAGTGATGGTAGCATCTTCTCTTTGAATACAGAGCAGTACATCTGTGAATTCATGATATCAGCAATGAAATGCAGCTCCCTGACTCCAGCAGCACTCATGCAGCCCCACAGAGACACTGCCACCACCATGTTTCAGTGTAGGCACCACACATTTTTCTTTGTACTCCTCACCGTTTTGATGCCATACAGTTTTGAAGCCATCAGTTCCAAAAACATTTATCTTGGTATCATAACTCCAGAGTACAGAGTCCCAGTAGCCGTCGTCTTTTTCAGCATGGGACCTACAAATTCTAGGAGAGCTTTTTTGTGCATGGGCTTTAGCAGAGGCCTCCTTCGTGGACGACACCCATGCATGCCAATCCTCTGCAGTATACGCCGTATTGTGTCACGGGAAACAGTCGCCCCAGTTTGGCTTTCTATTTCTTTTGCTAACTGTAGTGAACTTGATTGGCGATTATTCTTCAACCCTTCTCATCAGAAGACGCTCCTGTCGAGGTGTTAACTTCCTTGGATGGCCTGTATGTTATGAGATGGTTGCAGTTCCATCTTTTGTTTAATTTTGCATCACTTTTGCTACTGTATTTTGACTGATAGGTAAAGCTTTGCTGATCTTCTTGCAGCCTTCTTCTTTCTTGTGTAAAGAAATTATTTTCTTTCTCAGGCTTTGACATTTCTGACACCATGTGGTGCCATTGCTGACAGCATGAAATGGGAAGGGGTTTTCTTTAAGTAACGCCCTTTTAAATTCAACTTTCTGCTGGACACCTGCTTAATGAATAATTACACTCGCCTATAGTTGAATTATTGTTAATTACGATTTTGTTGTCTAAAGTGTAGCTTTGCTGTTAAGACTTTTTCATTGGGGTGTATTCAATTTTGCAACATGGTCTTGAATTTGTATGGAAAAATACTTTTTTGTGTGCAATTTAGCAAATCTTGTTTGCTATCAATGGCAAGAAGACTGACTTGACGTGGCTACAAGAGAGGACATTTTATAATCTTTCTAGAGGTGTGAGAACAATGAAAATAACTTCATTGTTCAAGGCTGGTTGTGATATTCGAACTGTATTACCTCCATCCTTACATATTGCATGGCTGCTCTGCAGGCATGCCATTGACAAATAGCTCACTCTTCACCCAGTTCATATTTATCAAACTTCTTTACCTCTCCTTGTTGATGAATTCCTACCTTCACTGATTGTCATCCATTTTTTGGTTCACTCGGTAGTTGCCCTGAAACGGCCAATTCATTTTCAAATCAATCTGCCAATTCTCTTTGGTTTCCTGTTTTGTAAGACCAGTGGATGCTATGCCTCCTATTCCCCCAGCCACTGGTCTTGGCACATCCATTCTGTAGTTCTTTCTCCAGGAAGCAGTGATGAAATTGAGCCCCACTTGCAGTGGTGGGTGGGCCAAGACTCTCAGACGCATTCAACATGTACGAGCTTAGTGTACCCGCCCACGTTCGCTACAATTCCCTGTAGTTGATGGGAATTGTAGTTTCCTTTTTAGTACAGAGAGAGGGGAGGATATGATGTAATCCTGACTGTTTCGCCTCCTCCATGGCAAAGTAGATGCTATTTATCTTTTGAACTACAGAGATTAGGTCATGAAAATTCCATTAGACTTTTCTCGTAAATGGTAAAGATTTTCAAAATTTGTATTAACTGGTTAGTGTTTTGTGTATTAAGTGTGTGTGTGGTGTTTTTTTTTTTTTTTTTTTTTTTTTTTTTTTTTGCCTATCCCAGAATTCTTCTTTAAATCATTTTGCAGAGACACAATATTGCTCAACTGGTGTAACTGACCTTGAAATGCACCACAAATCACTTAATATCCAGCTGTGTTTTCAAACCTTGAAATAATAAAAAAAAAAATTTAAAATAAAGAATATATAACATTTTTACTGGTGTGAATGTAAGGAATAAAAAGAGGATGTTATGGTTCATTAGTACTGAAAGCCAGGAATATTTTCAGTGCCCAATACTTCTACAGCTTGAGACTGTCCTAGGAAGTGAGTGATATGATTATTCCTTGCTGGGTTCATTAAAGTATATCTAAAACCAAGAATACATCACAGTTTACCAGTCATTGTGTGGTGGCTGGATTGATTTTATTTTTCCTTTTTTACCTAGTAATCCTGCCAGTAAGGTCTAATGCACATAGATGGTAGGGTTGAATGTAAAAATCCTAGCATTCCCCATGACTAGTGAGCTGCAGGTAGCAAGTACAGATGCCCAATGAGATGAAGAAGAAATGTGTGGAATTATGCTAAATGAAGGAAAGATCTTGAAGGGGCCAAATAATTAAAAAAGGAGGTACCTAATCTAAAAATAGTTTTTTAATTAGAAACTTAGCAGGAAGTTGTGACAAAAGATGACCATTTTATAACCACTGCCCAGCCTTGGTGTCCCTTTTTTTTTAATTGGGTCTATAACCCAGGAGCAGAAAGGATCAGTGACCATTGTGGTTGGCTGTCAGTAGGTCACATGATAGGGAGCTGATCCCACTGGCTACCGATTGTTAGTGGGGACCAAAAGCTCTCTGTGACGGCTTGTTCTCTATGCTTGGAGCACGCACTGCTTTCACGTCCTGAAAACATCACAGCATCTTGCCTTTTTGTATTCATAATGCAGACAGTAGACTGTATTTCCATTCAGACCAACTTGGGTAAAACCCACCGGTGATGCTGAGCCACTATAATTGAAAGAATTGAAATCCAATAAATGAAAAGGCACAGGGGCAGTCAGGCTGGAGGAAATAGGGCTTGATCCTTGGTGCCCAATCAGAGGCCGCACATGGCCCTTTGGCAATTTTTGTGTGGCTCTTGGGGCCTGTGCAAGAACTAATCTGTCTAGCACCTTGCCTCTCCTTTTTAAATTGTTTAGCCTGTTAATGAAGGGGGAAAGGAGGAACTAGCTAAGGTAAAATATAAAAACAGATTACATTTCAGATAATCTGCATTTGGTAATTCAGTCGTTTGGCTATTAACAAGTTAAATGTAGCAGTTGTTAAAAAGGCAAAATAATCCTGTTGTAACATGCCTTGCACAAATATTTTTACTGCTTACCTGCTCACAGGTAATTATTCTAAACATTTAAAGAAGAGCTGCATGTTCCAACACAAATTGCTCTATTAGCTAAAAATTAGAAGACATGTTTTTCAGCATTTTGTGAGGAGCTGAAGTTACTGCATACTTGTTTTATTTATTCTGCTGACATTCACAAGTACTTCTTTTGTATTGGGAATTTAAAAAAAAAAGTATAATTCCAAAATCATTAACTTTTTTGAGATTTTATAAATGTATTTAAGATCTACAACATACTCAGTTTGTTGTTTTGTAGGATGCAATAGATGCTGAAATATGTTAAAAACTCTCTTTTAACGAGGTAAAAAATCGCTTTTACTTGCCTGATCCTCCACTCCCCTAGTGCTCCCTCATGCTTTGGCAGTAGATGGTCCCTCTGCATCCTAATGTCCA